CCTGCCCCGGTGCCGGCCGAACTGCACCGGGCGGGCAGGGGGGGCGAGACGCGGCACCTCGGGGTCCTTGTCCCACTGCCAGGCACCTGGGGATCCTTCTCCCCATGGCACACCTCTTGGGGTCGTTCTCCTGACTGCACACCTCGTGGGGTCCTTCTCCCCATTTACACACCCCTTGGGATCCTTCTCCCCATGGCACAACTCTTGGGGTTCCTTCTCCCCATTTGCATGCCTTTTGGGATCCTTCTCCCCATTGCACACCTCTTGGGGTCCTTCTCCCCATTTGCACACCTCTTGGGATCCTTTTCCCCATTGCACGCCCCTTGGGGTCCTTCTCCCCCTTGCACACCCCTTGGGGTCCTTCTCCCCATTGCACAACTCCTCGGGATCCCACTGCTGTTCTACACCCGCCGACCTGCATTCAGCTGCTTTTGGCTGTGGTGGCATCCCAGGCCTTGGCGGGGAGGTGCTGGGATGGTCTGTCCCTGGGAGGCTGGAGTGGTTTCATGCTGAGTTGCAACTTAAGCGGAGAAAACTCAGGGGAGTTTGCTGCTTGCTTGGGAAGTGCTTATTTTCAGCGCTCTCCAGGATCAGTTAATTATCGCTGGGAAAAAAAAATATTGCAAAGCTCTTATAATTAGGCGGCCTACCGAGACTCCGCTGCTCAGAAGGCAGCTGAAAGCAAACACTCGTTGTGAAATGTTTCTTGTGTGTATGTGTGAATAGAGCTGCCCGGGCAGAGGGCTGGCATTTGGACTTGCGCGTTACCAGAGAGCTGATGCACGTTGGCGGCTCAAAAGACCCTACAAAATAACGAAAAAAAGGCAAGAAAAGAAAACCTGCTAACAGGACTCATGTTGCCCTTGTCGAATCAGGTCCCAAATCGTTATAATCTGTTTGTGGAGCTATAGCTGCCTTCAGGACGAACTGTTGGTTTATCTTTGCAGGACCAGAACTGCCTTTATGTTGTTTGAATAGTCCTTGCGCTGTGGGGTCCTGGGCGCTACCGCAGAGTGCCTGCTGCTAATAATAACGCGGTAAGGAGTTTACCCGCTCTGATCCGGCTAAAGACAGCGTTGAGGCTGGCATCGGCATGACCAGCCGCCGATCTGTCCATAGAATGAGATGGATAAAACTCACACAAGAAAAGCTCAGGCTCTGAAGCAGAGACTTGGTCCAGAACGGAGGGGTTTAGGGGCTCTGGTCCAGAACGGAGGGGTTTGGGGGCTCTGCCCGGGCAGGACCCGGCAGCCTCGGCTGTAGGGATGGGATCTGCAGAGGGACGGGCTTTGGAGCCCAGGAGTGCGCGTCAAAGCCGCTGCGTCCAGGGTGTTCTCATTTCCTTTGCTCTCTGAGTTATAATTTGTTCCACATTGCAGTGCCGGGGCGGCCTCTCCCTCTGCTCGCAACATCCAGGCTGCGGTTGCTGCCAGTACACCGAGGCTGCGACTGGAGAGGGTTCCATCAAAAAAAGAAGAAAGAAAGGGGGAAAAAAAAAAAAGGGAAATTTTTCAAATAGAGATCTGGGGAAATTGCTTTGCTGCTTGCTGTTCTGGGATGGTTATAGCTGAAATCTCGCCACCCATCCATGCAAAGCTGCGTCTGCGCCAGGACGAGCCCCAGGGAAATTCCACATTAAAAAGTGGTTTAACAGTGTTGCTGCTCTTCCCGAAAGGGAGTAAGATGACCTGGTAGCTACAGGTTGATTGGCTTGGTAGCATCACCCCAGGAAGAAGAGGGAGAAACCTGGCTCAGGCTTTAATTGCTTAAAGACTTCAGCACCAGGAATAAATTCCTGCCATCCAACGTGGCTGTATGGAAAATAACTCCTGGCAAGCAGAGCTGATTTCAGTCTCCAATGCAAGAGGTGACTCTCTGGCTGAAATACACTTCTGCGAAGCGCTTGAGTTATGCGAGGTGAGATTCTTGTAAAAACCTGCGCTCTCCAGTATTAAAAAAGCCAGTCCAGTCCGGTATTTAGAGCTGACATTATACAGTGTCAAGAAAGCCAGCATTAAATAAACCTGATCCGTTTCAAAGGCAGTTATCGGAGGAGATTATCACTGCTGGGCACTGCTAGCTGGTAGCGTGCCCTCGGTGTTTCGGTGCTTTTATCGCTAATCTGGAAGGAGATGGAAATGATTTCTGGAAAAACCTGGGGCTGGCCCAGAGCAGCGCAGTGTTAATCGTTTGTACAAATCCGGGCGGTGAACCGAAAAACCTGGGGCTGGCCCGGAGCAGCGCAGTGTTAATCGTTTGTACAAATCCGGGCGGTGAACCGGGCGAGCGAAAGGCATCCCAGCTGGAACGGAATAGAAAATGGAAATCTTTTTGCACTCAAAAAGAATAAATGGATTTGTACCTGTTTTCCTGTCCCTAATCTGGGTGACAAATTGGCCGTGCACCGCTGTCGGCAGGAGATGCTCGCAGATGCTGGGGAGAGGCAGCGCGGGGGCTCAGCGGCTCCCTCCTCCCGCCGGAGCTGCCCGGGGGACGGCTGTGTGTCTGTCCTGATTTCTGTGCTGGAAAATTTGCCGTGCCCCCCGGTCGGCAGGAGAGGCTCGCAGATGCTGGGGAGAGGCAGCGCGGGGGCTCAGCGGCTCCCTCCTCCCGCCGGAGCTGCCCGGGGGACGGCTGTGTGTCTGTCCTGATTTCTGTGCTGGAAAATTAAAAATTTTCAGTGCAATGGGAAATTTTGCTCTGGAAAAAAAAATAGCAGTGATTTGCATTTTCGGTCAGGGCGCTATCAGAACCGAATTTGGGCTTACGACAGCCAAACCCAGCCGCTCCACCTCGGCGGAAGGGACCGAGGGGCTGTGGAAAATGCCTGACAGCGAGAGACGAGACCACCATCGGGTTAGTCTGCTCATAAATCAAATCGGAGGGAAGGGGGGGCTTGATTCAAGCATCTAAATACTCTTGCAAAGAAAATACGCGGTAGCCAAAAGCTCGTTAATTAAGCAGGCAAAAGCATGACGAGAATCAATGTCTGGCAGCTGAAGCCAGACACACTGGAAATCAGGCATAAATATTTAACCAGCGGGAGCGAAGAATCCTCGGAAGGATTGGTGAGTGGCAGAGGTGGGTTCAGCACCTCTTTGCCCTTCGCATCGTGGCCTGTCACCTTGAAGAAAGTTTCTCCCATTGCTGGATGAGCAAGAGGGGGTGGGCTGAACCTGCACCGAGGCTCTGATTAGGTGATTTAATTAGATGGTGCTTTTGTCTTTAATGACGGACGGAGCCATGGAAAAGAGCGTATCTTGTGCCCTGCCGGCTTTTTCTGAGAAACACCGTGAAACCACCACAGGCACTTTGCTTCTTTTTTCTTTCTCTTTCGGTTGCCGCTGATCATGTTTCTGCGGATCTGTGCCAGCCAGGCGAGGGGACAGTGCTTGGTGGCTGTCCTTGATGCCCAGCAAAATAGACTGAGATTCAAGAAAAACACATCTCGGTGAGCATCCCAGTGTGCTGTGGCTACTGGGGCAAGGAGCTGGTCCAGGACTCGTTATCCACCCATGGGTGAGAGGGTCCCTGAGGACACACGTGCTTGGGAGAAGGAGATGAAGGCCATGGGGTTGTTGCTGGTCCCATCTCCTCCTCTTCACCGTTCCTTTCTGATAGCATTTCTTTTCCTGTCGCTGCTCTCTCCCTGTCTCTTTGCAATGGGGTAGATGCTGTTGGTGGGCATCACCATGGCTGGATTTGCTCTGTCCCCCCCCAGGGCTGCCGTGTTCATGCTGCGATGAAGCCTGGGCTTGGGGCTGATCTGGTCCTCCCCATCTACTTGCTGTGGCTGGATGAACATGTGCAAACGTGCCCGTCACCAGCCACATGTCCCCCGTTGTCCCCAGGAGTCAGCAGCCCTCAACTGCGGCGAGCGCTCGGGTCTGTTTAGCTTGCAGTGGGGGGAACACGGTGAGATGCTGAGCTGCAGGCCTTCTGTGCAACTCGGTGGCCTGCCCGCAGATGCGATGCGTGTTGACGGAGGAGGTGCAGCACGTCTGAGCCCTCCAAAGCCACCACACTGTGGGCAGCTGATGTCTGTGAGCAGCCCAGGACCACTCCTCCTCTTCCTCTTGCAGAGGCACGACAGACACCTGCCCGGGATGATGCGTGACGGGGAGGAAGGCCTGTTTTGAGGAAGAGGATGAATGGAAGGAGAAAAGGCACGTGAAAAGGATGGCAAGGTAAGGGGAGGCATTGCCTGGGTGCTGGTTGGGGGCAGCAGGAAGAAGCTGCTCACCCATGGTGGGAGCAGGAACCTCGGAGCCCGCAGGGAAGTCCCTGGCGGTTGCAGAGTTGGTTGCGGTGATGGAAGGACATGTGGTGGCCACGTGAATACCAAAAGCATTTGTCATAGCTCTGCAGAATAAATACAGACGGTGCTGGCCGGGGAAAATAGCAGGTTTTGGAGTGGCTGGGCACAGCGGGGGGGGAGGGGGAGGATACCCGACAGAGACCCCGCCGGGCAGCAGTCACAGGCTATGGGCTAATTCCTGTAGAGTTGCTAGCAGAGATGTCATCACTGAACGCTGAAGAAGGGGACTCTTGAGAAAGTCTGGGTCGTGTCTGTATAGCTGCATGTCTCCATAGCCGGGGAACCGGGCTGCCGGCAGCGAGGAGGGGGCTCGCCCGGGCTGGGGAGGCCCAGGAGCACGCGTCCCACCGCTCTGCGGGAAGACATGCCTGAACCGTGAACGCGCTTGCTGGCTTGTCCCCTGGTAGCTGGGTCCAGCCAGAGCATCCCTGCCCTCGCAGCGGGACCCGATGTCATGGCACGTGCTGTGGTTTTCTCTGTCACCTCCTCCTCCGTGCCCAGCGTACGGGTGCTGGAGGAGCCCATCTCGTTACCATCTTACCACGTCCATTCCAGTCCTCGGGGGGATAAAGACCGTGCGTTGCGCTGTCTTTGGGATAACGCTGCAACTTCTCAGGTGGCCTGGGCTGGTGCCTGGTGAAATCGCGCCGGTGTGGCTCCAGATGTTGAAGAACAGGTTGACCAGGCTAGAAGCTGCTCTCAGTCCAGGCTTTGTGTTTTTTTCCCATGAAATGCCTTTGCCCCTGCACTCTGTAGAAGCTGCATTTGACGGAAAGAGCAGGAAAAGAGCTGAGCTATAAATAACATATTCAAACCCAGGCAGGGACCTGTGAGGAGCGAGGATGGTGTCTCTGTCTGTGATGTGGGCTCGGAGAAGCGATTTTACCAGCAGCAGATGTTAAAAGGTTTCGCTTTGTGCTGGAGGCAGTTCAGGGCAGAGGAGATTAAAGCTGCGAACTGAAAACAGTGATTTGATGACAAAGTTTTGTCTTTTGCATCCTTAATGGCAAGGTCTCGTGGGGACACCGGGGTAGTTTTTCTTCTGGCCGATCTTCGTGAGGGCTGGCGGGGCCGTGCTGACAGCCCAGGGAAACTGTTCTTGAACCAGACTGTCTGCCAGTGCCCTGACCTGCTCCCCAGGTTGGGTCTGCCCCGGCGCTCCGGGGAGATGCCACACCGCAGACACCGAGGGATGTCCCCAGGGATGTCCCGAGCAGCTCCGGGCTCAGCTGGAGAAGGAGCAGCAGCATGGGTGGAGCCGCAGCTTTAACCCCATCCCTGCCTCAGTTTCCCCAGTTGGAAGGTGGGAGCAGGGAGAGCCTTCCCCCAACCCAGTGAGTTGTGGTGAAGGCGCTGGAGCCAACGTTTGGCTCAGCTGGTGAGGTACTAACCAGGAGATGCTAAGCCCTGCTTTCCAGGCTGATTTTTCAGGACGTGGTTTAGCAGGCGTGGTGGTGGTGGGGTGACGGTTGGACTTGGTGATCTTAGAGGTCTTTTCCAACCTTAACGATTCTATGATTTCGGGTGATGGAGCCCTGGCCCAGGCTGCCCAGGGAGGCTGTGGAGTCTCCTTCTCTGGAGATATTGAAGACCGACTGG